AGTAGTTAAGTTCCAGTGGTCCGACGCTTGTGAAAGGAGCTTCAAGGAATTGTAATCAAGATTGATTACAGCACCGATATTGACCTTACTAGAGGGTATAGAGGGATTTGTGGTGTATTGTGATGCTTCGAGGATCGGGCTTGGGTGTGTGTTAATGCAGCACGACAAGGTAATAGCCTACGCTTCTAGGCAACTCAAGAATCATGAAAAGAACAATCCAACCCACGACTTAGAGCTGGCGGCAGTGGTGTTTGCACTAAAGATTTGGCGACATTATTTGTATGGGGTCCATGTGGATGTATTTACGGACCACAAGAGCTTTCAATATATTTTTAAACAAAAGGAGTTGAATCTGAGACAGAGAAGATGGCTAGAGTTACTCAAGGACTATGATATCGATATTCTTTATCACCCCGGAAATGCCAATGTTGTGGCAGATGCTCTTAGCCGGAAATCTATGGGAAGTTTGGCTCATTTGGATGCATATCAAAGGCCGTTGGCCCGGGAGGTTCACCAGTTGGCTAGTTTGGGGGTTCATCTTGTGGACTCTAATGAAGGAGGAGTAATTGTGCAGAATAGGACTGAATCATCGCTTGTAGTGGAGGTCAAAGAAAATCAATACAACGATCCATTGTTAGCACAGTTAAATGAGGGGATTTAGAAACACAAGACCACAGCTTTTTCTTTTGGCATGGATGATGGTACCCTACGGTATCAAGGGCGCCTATGTGTTCCAGATGTCGACGGTATGGCTGAAGATCACTCTTCCAGGTATTCCCTACACCCGGGTTCACCGAAAATATATCATAATCTCAAGGAAGTTTATTGGTGGAACAACATGAAAAGGGATGTGGCAGGCTTTGTGGCAAAATGTTCAAACTGTCAGCAAGTGAAGGTCGAACATCAAAAGGCCAGTAGATTGGCTCAAAGCATAGAAATTCCTATGTGGAAATAGGAAATTATCAACATGGATTTTATGGTAGGGTTACCGTGCACTCCGCGCAAGTTCGACTCAATTTGGGTAATCGTGGATCGACTCACGAAATCAGCGCACTTCTTGCTAGTTAAATCTACCAACCCTGCGGAACAGTATGCTCAGTTGTATATCAAAGAAATAGTCAGGCTGCATGGCACTCCAGTCTCAATCATTTCAGATCGAGGGGCTCAGTTCATGACCAACTTTTGGAAGAAATTTCAGCAAGGTTTGGGGATGCAGGTTAATCTTAGTACAGCCTTTCATCCTCATACTGACGGGCAAGCAGAGCGGACTATTCAGACGCTTGAGGACATGTTGCGTGCTTGTGTTCTTGATTTTAAAGGTAGCTGGGATGATCATTTGCCACTCATAGAATTTGCTTATAACAATAGCTTCCATGCTAGTATCTAGATGGCACCATTCGAGGCATTGTATGATAGGAGATGTAGGTCTCTCATTGGGTGGTTCGAGGTTGAAAAAGCTGAATTGATAGGGCCGGACCTTGTGCATCAGGCCATGGAAAAAGTCAAAATTATTAAGGAAAGGTTGAAAACTGCTCAGAGTCGCCAAAAATCTTATTTGGACGTTCGTCGCATAGATTTGGAGTGCAAAGAAGATGATTGGGTATTTTTAAAGGTTTCCCCCATGAAGGGTATCATGCGGTTTGGAAAGAAAGGAAAATTGAGTCTGAGGTATGTCACATACAAGCTCAAACTGCCACCCGAGATGTCATTAGTACACCTAGTCTTCCATGTATCTATGTTGAAGAAGGTAGTGGGGGATCCGTCCACTATTGTGCCAGTTGAAACTATTGAGGTTAATGAAGAACTGTCATATGAGGAAATTTCAGTTTCCATTCTTTACAGGCAGGTCCGGAAGTTGAGAAACAAAGAAATTGCCTCCGTGAACGTGTTATGGCGAAACCAGCAGGTTGAAAAAGCCACTTGGGAAGCCGAGGAAAAAATGAAAAAGAAGTACCCACATTTTTTTGTATAGCCATGTAATAGCTGTTTTGAATTTGGTTCCTATGAACTCTGTATCCTTTGATTTGGTCTATGTAAAACTGTTCTGTTTTGGTTATATGTTGCCTATGCGGCCACGGTTGGTGTCGTTACAAGTTATGTCATGTCTATGGATTGTGTATATGCTATTAGGATATGTTTCTGGGGCTCTCTGACAGGTGGATAGGCCTATATACAAAGGAAACTCTGACAAAAATTTTGGAAATTTAGGGAGTTAGCCAATTTGGGACTGTTGATATATTTCATGATGTGAAAAAGCTGAAGTTGCATAAGGATTGCTAATGAGTGAACCTTGATCCTCATTCGAGGACGAATGATCTTAAGTGGGGGAGGATGTAAGGCCCCGTAAAAATTTTTGCTCAAAAACCCGAGATCTCGTAGTGCCAAGTTAGGAGTATGTGTTAGGAATTTATAAAATTTTCGTCGCGGTTCGGACTCTTTGGATTGATCTGTGCATTAAAAAGTTAAGGAATAATGTTTTTCAGAAAGCGCGTTTCTGCGGTCCATTATGCGGTCGCATAATAGCTATGCAGACCGCATAATTACCGCAGAGTGAGGCATTTTGATGGTTAATTTTGAGGTCAACTATGCAGCCAGTTATGCGATCGCATAATCAATATGCGGGTCGCATAGTCATCGCACAATCTCCTTGGAATTTTGTGAGGGGCACTTCTGCGGTGCATTATGTGATCGCAGAATAGGTATGCAGACCGCATTTTTGTCGCATACCCGGGACGTTAGTTCAGGTTTTGGGGGCCATTTTTGCGTTCCCTTTTGCGGGCCGCATGTCCATTATGCGATCGCATATGCGATCTCAGATTGTGTCGGGCTCCTATTTTCTAACTTTTAAATCCCGACCCCATCCCATTAAAAACACCCCATTAGACCTCTTTCATGCTATTTTACTGCAGATAGAGTGAGAGAGGGGGTTCTAGAGGGAGAAACTAACATTTACCAAGTCAATACAATCCTTACCCAAATCTTTGAAGACTTTCAAGTAAAATTTGCTAGACCTCCATCCTAAGAGGTAAGAACTCGTTCCCTAATCTATGATTTCGAAATTTCTATTAAAATAAGTGATTAACAAGTGGGTTCATGGGTAAGGGATTGACTATCTTGCAAGTATAAATGATAATAGGATATAGGGAAATTGTGAGTTAAAAAGATAGCAATTGGGGTATAAGATGATAAAAATCTCTCACAAAAGGGTCCTAAAATCACAATGCATACTTAGTACTTGATAATATACTCAAATAAGCTAGAATCTAAACTGTGTCTCTAATTTTTGGTTCAATTTGTAATTGTCATAAATAGATCGAAGTCGCAAACAGTCCCAAAATTTTTGTAAGAATTTAAGGAAAGCTCTATCGAGGTATGTATGGCTAAAACCCCCTCTTCTTAGAAATTGAGCTCCGATGGTGTCTATGCAAATGTGGTAAGACTAAAATTTGATTGATGTATTGATTGTTATTTCACATGAATTGATTTTGCAATTATATATATATACACACACATAAAGGTGTGCCTCAATGTGTGCAACGTACTATTCTAGATATTTAAAGATGTGCGAAGAATATGAACCATGTGTTGAAATGCCTAGACTTCAAGTCAAGTTTAAACGGAGATTGTTATGCCAAAACTATGTGAAGTCTTCTCTATGCTTACAACTTGAATTGCTCTTGTATGTGCCTATTATCTTGAATTGTAAGGTTAATGTTGAAAGTGGAAATGATGTGAAATATGGGGAAAAGAGCTTGAGTTGTGATATGGCCCTAAGTGCCTATGAATTGATATATGTGAAATAAAGATTGAAATGAGACTATAAATGAAAAAGGAGCAACGTCTAGGTAAGACGGCTTAGCCGATCGGGTCGTGATCGGACACCATGTTGCACATATGGTGGTATTGTACTGATATTGAATTCCGAAAAGTGATAATGAGATTGTGATTGCGGTACATGTGTCAAAAGAGGCAACCTAGCCAATCGGGTCGTGATCGGACTCCGCTCAAGAAAGCGGTGGTATTGTGAATGATGATGAACAGTATTAAATGCCCCAACCTAAAGCTATGGAATTGAAAGATATGATTCTTTTATTTGATGATATGGTGTTCGGTTAAAGCTTTTGATTGTCCCTTGTGATTTTCTTGTTCTTGTATGATAGTTCTTTCTAATAAGATGGTGTTTAGTTATACATACTAGTACTATTCCATGGTACTAACATCCCTTTTTCCGGGGGCGCTACATTTTTGAATAAATGTAGGTTCTATAGCGAACAGTGTCAATCGTAGGTAGCGGAGTATCCTCCTCTCAGAAATTTTGGTGAGCCCCTTTTCTTCCAGGGGTTATGTTGTACATCTTTTGTTATAGATTACCACTTTTGAGGTATATCCGGGGCCTTGTTGCCGGCATTATCATAACTGTCTTTTATATCCTTAGAGGCTCCGTAGACGTTGTGTGGGTTACGTACGGATATTGGATGGGTCACTAGACTATGTTGTAATTCTAAACTCTTGTTTTCTATAAACTGTAAGTGTATGGAATCTTGGAAACTTAACCATGGTTTAAGGTTGTGATATAAAATGAACTAACAATGTTGAATGTACGATCCTTCCTATTGTCTAAATAAACAAAAGCATATTTTCCTTAATCATATTGAGTTGTGTAGAAAGTGTTTAATAAGGCTTGCTCAGTTGGGTTCACTCGATTAAGCGCTGGTCGCGCCTCCCGAGGTTGGGGTGTGACACAAGCGCTTCTGCGCTTCTGGGTCGCTTTACATTTTTTAGCTGAAGCAATCGCTTCTGCTAGTTGTGTTGCTTCAGTTAGGTAAAAGCAACGGCTTCTCGCTTCGCCTCGCTTCTCGCTTAAAGTTATGAAGCGCTCTCTTTTCTAAACACCGCGTCTGCCATGAGCCTAAGTTCACCTGAGTCCTCATTGTTGTCTTCTTTTATGGCCATGAAACACATATTACAATTTCTTCATGATCAGATTCTTCTTCATCACTCTAAGCTCCAAAAGACTTCTTCTTTTGAACATTTTTTCTTAGTTTCTTTTTCAGTTCAAGGCATTCGGCTTGAATGTGTCCATGTTTTCCACATTCATAGCATTTTCCATCATTTTTATCATTATCATTGTTCATCCTTCCTTTTCTAAAGTTTGATTTACCTCTCTTGCTATTTCTGTTTTTCCTCATCATGCTTGTCATAACTTTGGAGAGAACAGCTATGTTTTCATTTTGTTCTTCTCCTTCCTCTTCTTCCTCATTTTCTGGTTCTGCTACAGTTGCTTTGAATGCAACTGTCTTCTTTTTTTCTTGTTGAATCTGCCCGTCTAAGTGTGTTTTCTCAAATACAATTAGATTACCTCTGAGTTCATCATAGGATATTTTGTCAAGATCTTGACATTCCAAGACAATGACTTTGGGTTGCCAAATTGTGGGAAGACTTCTCAGAATTTTTCTCACCTGTTATCCGCTTTTGATTGGTCTACCAAATGATTTTAAGTCTCCAAGGATTTTGTTGAACCTGGAGAACACTTCCTCTACTGATTCTCCATCCTTTATTTGAAATAATTCATAGTCTCAAACTAGGAGATTTATCCCGCTTTCTTTCACTTTGTTGGTTCCTTCATATGTGACCTCTAATTTACCCCACATCTTCTTTGCAGTTTCGTAGCTTGATATCTTTTCATATTCTTCTCCACTAATAGCATTGTACAACAAATTTTTTGCCTTAGCATTCACTGTTATAACAGCTGATTGTTCTTCAGTATACTCATCTAAATCAAGAGGAACAGATGATACTATGACTTGACCATTGCCATCTTTCTTTGGTGGAATTGGAAGATTTCCCCTTCTGATCACGCGCCAAACTTTAATATAACATAGTGTAAGTCTTCATGCGCACTTTCCAGTGAGAAAAATGTTGACCGTTGAAGTATGGGGGCCGTACCTGAGAGGTTCCTTCTTCAAATAATGCTTCAACAACTATATTTGATCCCATGATCTTTTCCTCACTTCCTGTTAAGCAAAGTTCATGAGCCTTTCTCTGATACTAATTGAGAGTACAAAAGGGGAAGGTGGGTGAATTGTAACCAATTTAAAAACCTTAGGTGACTAAGTGTAAGTTTAGCCGACTAGACTTTGCACAGCGAATGATTTCAGAGGAAATGAACTAAATGAATAGAAAGGTAAAGAAGAGACAATAGTTTTTATACTGGTTCAGTACCGGTGTGGTACCTACTTCCAGTTTCCTTGGGTCATAAGGGTTCTCTTAGATCTTTGATAAATGTTTACAGTAGTGATGATTTTAACGTTCACCACCAACGATATACATAAACAATGATTTTCAATGTTGACACAACTCTCGTTTTGTGTTCTAACTCTTCCTATCTTTTGTGACACTTGTAGACTCAAGAATACATTGTTTGTACTAAGAACTAGAAAGGCTTCAAACAGATGATGTAGTTGCGCGCCTTTGAATGTTCTTCTGCTTCTTCCTTTATAGCTTGATGAGTCTTCTGCTTCCTTGTCATCTGGGATTGTATTGCAGCAATTCTAGGAGTCCTTTCCTTGTGAGGCATATACATCTAAGAGAAAGACCCAAGGGTAGCCTTTTGAATCTAGCTTGAAATGGTATCTAGATTCATCTTTATTCTTAATGAATTGCTTCCTTCATTCCTCCTTGATTTGAGATAATCTTGGCGAATTACTTCCTTCGTTCCTCCTTGACTTTAGCTTCTGCAGAATCTTCTGGATTTGATCTCCGGCCGTGATTAGCTCTCTTCACATTCTTGTGTATTTGAGAATCTTTAACAATGCTGATTGATTGACTTTCCTTCTTTGTTCTTAGGCTGATTGATTTATTTTCCATGTACAGCCAAATTCAAAATACATAGCAGTTGAGTAGGATCTTCTTTCATTCTATCAACATTTTTTCCTTCTTTTTTACATACAAGAATATATCATTAGTCAAAGATTTTTTGGATTATTGATCATTATTAAAATTCTAAACATAACGGTGTGGCCCTTCAGGATTCAAGTAGTGCTAATATGATGACCCAAAAGGTCATCTTTTGTTTTAGAACTCGATTCCTTATTCTGGGGCCTTAAAAAGCTCATTTTATCCCTCCTCGATTTGTGTGCGTAGTCCGGACGTGCTTCTGAAAAGCCTTTATGTGGAAAATTGAATAAATAATAATTTTTTGCCTGAAAGGTTGATTTTAATTGACTTCGCTTAACGTTTTGGGTAGATAGACCCGGACCCCTATTTTGACGGTCCTGGTGGGTCCGTAGTAAAATATGGGACCTAGGCGTATTCCCGGAATGGAATTCCGAATTTGATCTTGTTGGTATCGGGCTCGTATTTTGGTTCTGGATCCCGGTTCAAGTCCGTTATGATATTTATATCTTATTTGTGAAATTTGGTGAGAAACGGGACTGATTTGGCGTGATTTGGACCTTTGGTTGAAAAGTTAGAAGTTTCAAAACTTTCTTGAAAAGTTCATGCAATTTGGTGCTAAATTCATAGTTCTAGGTGTTATTTTGGCGATATGATCGTGCGAGCAAGTTCGTATGATATTTTAAGACTTGTGTGCATGTTTGGTTTGGAGCCTCGAGGGCTCGGGTGAGTTTCGGATAGGCTACGGAATGAAACATGGACTTAGGAACGTTGTTGGCGTTCCTGCTCTGGTGATGGCCTCTGATCTCGCAATTGCGAAGCCTGACAGTGTTGCAATTGCGAGATACTCATCGAAATTGCGAAGAGTAGCTAGGCCAAGCAGAAAATCTTCGCATTTGCGAAGTAAGGTGGGGTAAGCAGTGATCGCAAATGCGATATTTTGGTCGCTTTTGCAAAGAATTAAGTTTGCAATTGCGAAGGCAACAGAGGTGTGGGGCTCCTCGCATTTGCGAAGCTCGGGTCGCAAATGCGACATCTGCAACTGTGTAAAAGGGACTTAGACGAGATTTTTCATTCATTCTCCTATTTTTCAAAACCTAAACCTCAAGAGGCGATTTTCCAAACACTTTTTCTTCCCCAAATCATAAGTAAGTGATTCTTAACTCATTTCTTTCATTCTTTTACTTCTTTTTACAAGATTTCATCCTAGAATCTAAGGTTTTTCATGGTGGCATTGGGGATTTTTGGGTAGAACTTAGGAATTTTGAAATTTGGGGATTTAGACCTCAAATTGAGGTCGGATTCCAAAACCAATTGTATATCTGGGCTCGGGGGTGAATGGGTAATCAGGTTTTGGTCCGAAGGTTAGGGCCAAGCGGGCCTGGGTGTTGACTTTTTTAAAATTGACTTAAATTGAATTCCTTGCTATCGTGGGTAGTTCCTAAGGCTTAAATTGAATCGTTTGGTTGGTAATTTGCTAGATTCTATTGTCTAGAGGCTTGTGTGAAGGAGAAAGTTGTGATTGAACTTTGAGTTTGGCTGTTGGCGCGAGGTAAGTGTCGTGGTTAACCTTGGCTTGAGGGATTAGGTATTATTTGCCTATTTATAATGTGTTTGGGTGTTGAGTACAATGTATAGGTGAGGTGACGAGCACCTATACGTTGTTGTCGAGTTATAACATGCGAGTGAGACTTATTCCTATAACTTTTGTACTCTTTGATCATATTATTCATGTTTAGACTTGTTATTTCATGTGTTGAGCAACTCTTATCATGTTTTACGGAATTTGATATTGATTGAGTATTGACTCGGAGTTGAGGTTGGTATTGTGGATTTAAATGTTGAAGTAAGACTGGTTCTTGATATTTCTATCTCCTTGTTGTTATTGTTCATTGTTTTGGTGAGGGAGAGTATTAAAACACGAAGGGTGATGTCGTGCAATATTTTGTGAGTGAGTGATAATGCACGAAAGGTGATACCGTGCCATATTATATGAGTGATAATGCACGAAGAGTGATGTCGTGCCATGTTATGAGAGAGTTAATGCACGAAGGGTGATGCCGTGATGTTTCTATTGTTTCTTATGGTGAGGATGAGAGTAAAAGCATGAAGGGTGATGTCGTTCACTTGTTTTGCTATGTTTATTACTTTCGTTGGTGCAAAGCATGTTATTTACTGCGTGATCACTATTTTCCGGATCTGATATTCCCTCAGCATGTTTTCCCCCTTCCAGTTATTATCTGCTTAGTTTCCATTTGTTGTTATTTTCTCGTATATGATTTAACTGCACAGGTTCATGTTATTGTCTTGTCCTAGCCTCGTCACTACTTCGTCAAGGTTAGGCTCGACACTTACCAGTACATGGGGTTGGTTGTACTGATACTGCACTCTGCACTTTCTGTGCAGATTTCGGTACTGGACCGTGTTGACCCGAGTTGAGGTGCTGCCCTCAATCCTACAAGAGACCCAAGGTAGATCTGTCGGCGTTCGCAGACCCTGGAGTCCCCTTCCAGTTATCCCAGTTTACTGTTTTTACTTTAGTTCAAAAATAGTTGTATTTTCTTTCAGTCAGTATTTGTAGTGACTCCTAGAAGTTCGTGAATTGTGACACCAGTTTCTAGGTAGTCGTGTATAAATATTTGGGTAATTTATCTACATTTCATTAATTCGTTATGTTTTATATTATTGTCATTTTGCGAATTGCTTAAAGAGTTAACGTGTTTAATTTCTATATGTTGGCTTGCCTAGCAACCGAAAGGTTAGGCGCCATCACGATCCCGGCGGTGGGAAATCCGGGGTCGTGACAGCTAATTTCTTTCATTGTTTTTCACTTTCTCCCTTTGCTTTTAATTTAAGCCTATGATGAATATTAAACTTGTCATAAACGTTTTTGCTCCTACCAAGAAGAGCTTAGTCTTTTTAACTTTTAATAGTTGCATGTTATGAGACCATCTTATAAAGTGCAGTAATGTTTGGTTCTGTATGCATGCTAGAACAGTTTAATAGCAAATTAAGAAGAACTTTTCTATTTTCTTCTATTCTATCAGGAATTTGACAACAGTAAAATGTTTGATTGACCAGTCTCTTTGCTCTATTCAGGAATGAGGGTTCTTTGGGTTTATAGCTGAAGTTTGCCGCTAGAACCTATGCAAGAACTCTTTCCATCTCTCTTTGAATTATAAGTATTCAATAGCCAGAAATGAGTCCTTTGCAGTAGCAAAAGGAAGATTCTTGATTGTGAATTCTGGAACTACGTTGCTTAATTAAGAAGTTACCTCAACTCGAAGTAGAGAATTCCTTCCTCCGTTGGTGATGTGCAGCTCGAGCATTACCCTGTGCTCCAATCTACTAAAGGGAAAGAGCTACCCTTGTTTCCGGCGCACACTGTATCTCGAAATTAAGAAAGTGGAGGAGTGGCCAGAGATTGCTCAAACCAATTGTACGGGTTGATGGTGAATTCATCTAGCAAGCAAGATTATTGGTGGTATTAACAAGGTAAATAATTCTCCAATCAATGGTGCCTATTGATTTTCAAGGCTTCTCTTTCCTTTCTTATTAGTAATTGTTTTCTTTACTTATCTTCTGGACTGCTGTGCATCATTTATTTCGGCCGCGGAAGTTATTTGTCCCTCTATTCCCCTGTTTCTAGTATTCAGTCAATTCCTGTATAACGCAAATGGTTGTGTTAGCGCAACCTCAACTTTTTCAATAGGTGTGTTTTTGCCTATCCCTTGTTAAAAAACTGCTAAAAACAAAAGCTTAAGCTGATAGGTTGTCCAAGTAATCTTGTTCATTTAACTAGTAATGTATTGATTTATTTTAAATCTTCCATTACCTTTTTTTAATTGGCAACACCGTTGCAACTTATCAGCCCTTTGATCTGTTGGCAGCATAGTTGAAAGGATATTAAGCTTGCGATTTCTGAGGTAATAGTACTGCTTCCTTTCAAATTTGTTTCCCACTCTATGCTTTTGTGTACAGTCTTTCAGGCAGTGTATGGTCCAGTTATTGCAAATTTAACATGCTGGTTCAAAACGTGAGGATTAAAATGGCAATTTATTCCTTAAACCTAATCTTTTTTTCTTTTCAGGAGGAGGTTGATTAGAATGCTGTAATGCCTGAAGTTTCATCTCAAACATCATGTCATCAGCGTGCGTATTAGTGTTCAAACTCCAACAGTAAAGAGGTTGAAATTTCCATGTGATACGGCCCTATTTTGTCTTCCTTGAGGTAAACACTCAGCTCTAATGGTAACACCAAGGGCTCATTTGGTTGGAAAGAAGTTATCTCAGGATTAATTATTTCGGGATTAATTATCCCGGCATTAGTTATTCTATATTTCTATAGGGATAAAAAAAAATACTACAATCCCGGAATTAATTATACCGCAATTTTCTACCAACCAAACATAGGATAAACTCTTATTAAATTAAGTTTTGAAATTAATTATTCCTTATCCCTCGTACCAAACAACCCCTAAAGGAATAACAAAACGACAAGTTTATTGACAGTGGACTGATTGGAAGCTTTCTTTGCTAGAACATGTGCCACCTGGAATTTTGTTATTGTTATGTGATCAGGAAACAGAGACAAGCTTCTTCTTGAAATTGGGACTAGCATTTTCCTATTTTATATACTCTGCGTAATATTTCCGTTTAACGGATTATTATACCTCAGTCTCAATATTTCTTTCCTTGTTCCATTTTGAATTTTCCTGTTGATACGTTGTTCAATTAGGTGAAAATGGAACTCCAAATCTGATGCATACTGATAGTAGACGATAATTATGCAATTTAGATAATATTTACACTCTAATTTGGTCGCACTTTATTAATGTTTGAATGTAAAAGATAACAAAATACTCTAATTAAGAGCTTTATATTTTGCAGGAGTCATTCCGAGCTAGGAAGAAGCTAAAAGAATATTTTGGAGTCAATATGGAGCATGGAAGACCAATCGGAGGATAGCACGGT